CTGTTCCGCCCCCTGCTCCCCGCTTTAACTGTCTTCTAGAGCAGGGGTCTCTACACTTGGCGGTTTTAAGACCTGTGGACTCCCAATTCCCAGAACCCATGGCGGCCTGGGATTTCAAGTCCACCCAACCTTAAAATTTGCCAGGTTTGGAGACACCCCTCCCCCACAGCCTAGAGTCTCCGTCCACTGCTCTGCCCCAAAGCAGTAGGGAGGACGGGCTTTTTACTGCGGGGCTATGGGGAGAGAGGGCTGTGAAGACGCCGTTGGAGGAGAATTAGGCAAAGGGGTCTGGAGCGCTGTTCACGCTGCCCAGCAAGGAAAGGAGCCCTTTGGGGGGAGGGTGGGGGGGGGCCCCGCCCTGGATAGTGAAGGAGAAGCAGAGGCTGAGAACAGGCTAGAGGGGGAGAGGCCAGGCTGCTCAGCCCCCCCCCCCCCCCCGAACCCCATGGACGGAAAGTCCCAGCCCCGTTTCTAAGGTAGAAGCAACAGAACCAGGCGGCCGAATTCCCCTGCCCCCTTCCTCCTTTGGCTTCCAGCCTGCCCGAAGAGAGGTCCTACCTGTTTCCAGGGGGAGGGGGCTCCATCCTCCATGGCCGGACACAGAAGCTCCGAACTCAGCGGGGATCATGGATGGGTGGGTGGGGGAGAACCTCCTCCTCCTCCTCCTCCTTCCAGCTCTGCTTCCTCCCCGCCGCTGCATGTGCCTGAGGCCCGGGCTTGCATGCCTCGCTTGCTTGCGCCCGCTGCTTGCAGAACCGCCTTCCCTCCGTCCGCCTGGCTTTGCATGAGGTCCGAAATCTGGCCCTGGTTCTGTCGCTGCCCGTCTTTGAGGAGTGTCTGGCAGACCCCCCCACCCACCCCACCTGCCGGCACGCTGTGACGTCTCCCCTGTTTTGGCTTCTGGCAACAGGTCTCGGCTTGCCGGGCTGCAGGTGGCTTTGGTGCCCTTGAGAGCCCCGGGGCGGCCCCAGCAAACCCCGGGAGGGAAAGCGAGGCTGGGAGCGGCTCCGGTCTTTGTCCTCCGCCTCAGGGCAGCCCCCCCGTCCCCCCCAACTCCATGTTATCCAAACCGAGCTGAGTCCAGGGGGGGCTGGGATTGTGGGGGGGGGGCTCTTGTAGCTCGTCTCTCTGGGTCCAGGCAAGCTGTTGATTGGATTAGTTGGAACCTCTGGCTGTCCTTGTGGGTGACAGGTGGCTGTGGGGTGGGGTGGGGGGGAAAGGCCCCTCCCTCCCTCCCCACTCGGGCC